CAACAAGAACGTTTGCTCGAGTTATGCGAAATTCCCACTCAGCTCTCATGGTATTAAAGGCGGCATGTGAGTAACGCAAATTTAGATCTAATAGGTATTGAAATTCAGCTTCATCTACAACCCAATAGCGACCCATTGCTGAATATAGATCAACCACCGTGGATCTCATGATGATATCACTCGAACTAGCTATAAAACTTTTGTTGTGGTATGATGCGATATTTATACCACATACACACAGTTATTGTAACATGCACAAATTCAAAATGAAGATGGATGCAAGTGTTCATGTCTTATAAACTCTAAACTCACACGCCGACAATGAAGTACTGATACTTCAGGAAGTTCACATGGTGGCTGTATGTTTGAAATTATTGTAAACAACTATGCATCAGAGTTATCACATCAACTTTTATGATCTGAACAACTATATATCAACTTTATAGGAGTTGTCACTTCGACTTTTATTTATTACTCAGTGCATATCTGAAGGTTTTAAGCAAAGTTCAAATCCGCTTAGAAATTTAATTTCACTTTTACGCTTACAAATATAATTTTATTTATTTTGCCTTGACAATATATTTAATTTCACTTTTCACTTTACATATTTAATTTAATTTAATTGGAGAAATTTAACCAATTTAATTTCAAGTTAACTATGTGGCCATTTTAGTCGGTGTTGTTCTTGTCTGCATACTACGCTAACTTTTATCTGTAACACTTTTAAGTTCTATATATTGAAAAACCCATTCATTCTAACTCTACTACAAATTAATTTTCAATACATTCTAACTCTATAGTATTTTCTCTTCAAGGTTTATGAATCTATTTGGAACTGCATAGGGTGGCTTTTTAAACACAAAAGGGTCTAATTATTTTGTTGTTTTGTTCTGACACCCCCTTATCCCATTATGAATTGCAGAAATTCACGTGGGCACAGTAGCTATGGTACGATAATAAATTGTAGCTCGGAGCAGTGATATGTCCAACATTTCTCAGTGGTGCAGTGACTTTAACAGACGTAATAAATTGTATGCTTTGTTTTTTTTCCTCAGATGCTATGTGTAGTGTGCAGTGATGCAGTGATGTATATGACTTTTTTCCTCAAATGCAGTGATGCATGTGACTTTATGCAATGATGCAGGTTACACTATGTGACTTTGTGCAGTGATACAGTGATGTATATGACTTTTTTCCTCAAATGCAGTGATGCATGTGACTTTATGCAATGATGCAGTGATGCATGTGACTTTTTGACTTTGTAAATTATATACTTCGTGACTTTTTTCCTCACATGCAGTGATGCATGTGACTTTGTGCAGCGCGACATAGATGCTTTGTTTTTTCCTCACATTTCAGAATTCATCTAAGTCACGTTAATACGACAACATGGCAATAGTGTTGACCAACAACTATATAAAGGACTGAAGGAGTGATGGTAAACACACAATCTTTCCACTCGGTTGGAAACTATCGTTTATCTATTGAGAAAAAATCAAACGGAGTATAGATTCACGGCAAAGGGTAGGAATCGCAGAGGTGAGAGTTCACAATGAGGAAGAGAAATGGGAAGGGGACTCGCAGGGGGTAGGAACTTTGAAAGAGGTGAGAGTTCATGCCGAGGAAGAGGAACGGGAAGGGGAAGTGGCGATACTGAAGATGAAACACCATTTACTTTGTTAGATGCATCTTGTGCTTATCATGATAGGTTTGGGAAGCGACGTTTTGTCATGCCCAAGTACTATCGAGATCCATGTGGTTTCGTGGAGGATCCATCTGATAATTAAACACGATATGGTTTAGCAGACACTAGACTTCTGAAGTGGCCCGCACTATTTATAGAGCGAGTGCAAATGGAAAGATTGTGTCGGGAAAATCAACTGAAAATGCCGAAAGCACGTTCAGTTCAGATCCAAAAGGAAGATCCAGATAATGTCGATCGATTATGTGAAAGACTTCGACGTGAGATTTCTCAAATGCGCCGTAGGTCAGCCTGCGATATGAAACTATCTATACTTAAGTCGAATGCCAAGAAGAATGGAACAACATCAAATATTGTGGCTATCAAGGCTGTCGAGGACGATCCTACACTTCTCTCTCACCCTGAGCTCTCTGATTGTTCGGACTCTGAGATTGCCGATTTGAGCGAGGATTAGGCGTCTATCTGTCTACTAAATTATATTAGGTTATCCATAATTATGTGTTATGCGTGTTAAAATAACTCTTTCGACAATAAGTTTGTGAAAGGTTTGTCTAATATTTGTCTATGTAACTGTTAAGTATTGTACTCGTCGCTTTATTTTATGTACTGTGTTATGTTGAATGTTTCCACAAATTATTTTTGTGGGACACTTATGTTTGAACTAGTTACGTCGTTCTAAAGTGTTATAAGTGTTATAGTCATACCTTTATTTTGTTTTCTTGTTCGTAGTACTAATTAGCAGATTAGATACTTTGTATATGTTGTGTGAAGTTTTATTTAAATATTTCTTGGCAACAAAAATTTAAGGAAACAACAAATATTTAGTTTCGAAAATTCCACAAAAGTAGGCTTAGTTTGGGAAATAAATTAGTATAGGGGCTTAGTTTGGGAAAACCCCCAACAAAATCTCTCCGAAACTGCGCAAAATGTTCTCTTGGGAGGGTACGTGTCTCGAGGCCATTATTTTCTTCTTATTTTTTAATTTTTAATTTTTAATTTTTTACTTCTTGTTTTTATTTTTGTCCATCATCGATCTTTTTTAAATTATATTTGAATTATATAACAAAATAAAATTTTAATTTAAAATTTTATATTTAAATAACAATTTAAAGAATATCAGGTAAATTAAGCAAATATTTAATTTACATTTTTTAGACAATTCACTACTCTTTAGACAATGCATGCTGTTTATTTTTTAAAAATTTTATGTATAAATTATTTATGTAAATATCAAATTGATCTGATAATCGTACATATAATTTTATCATTTTTTTTTAAAAATAGTGGATGCAAAGCATAATTTCAAAATTACATAATTCATTTTTAAATATTAAAATAATAAAATTTGGTAGTTAAGATTATTTATCAATACGATATTTTATATGAATAATTTATATATAGAGATCTACAAGATGACTGAGTAAATTATAGAATGTGAATTGAATAATAATAATAATAATAATAATCAATGGATTGGTTGTAGTTTAAAAGCGTGGTTACGAACCACGTTTTTTGTAAAAACCAAATTTTATTTAAAAGTGTGGATGATAACCACGCTTTCTTTACAAAATAGTTTTATTTAAAAGCGTGGTTTCTAATCACGCTTTCTTCAGAACACAAATTTCCTTAAAAGCGTGGTTTGTAACCACGCTTTCTTCAGAACACAGATTTCTTTAAAAGTGTGATTTGTAACCACGCTTTCTTAATTAAAAGCGTGCTTCGCAACAACGTTTTTATGATTTTATAATTTTACCACGCCTAGAGCATAAATATTGTGAAAGCGTGGTTTCTAATAACGTTTCAGTTTATTTTGAGAATTCCGCCCAAACTAGGCCTAGTTTGGAAAGATCATGATGGTTTATGATTTGCCAAGATATGGGTATGTGTATAGTGTACCAACAAATAATTTTTGAATAATATTATGTGTATCAATTCGTGTTTGTTTGGTATGTATTAAAATAGCACATGCTTTTTTAATATATTATCTTATTTAGGTCATAATCATTTTGTTTAAGTCACATTACCTCTCTACGACATCAATTTAAACTTAATCCATATTTCATATTTTTTCGTAAAAAATATATCAATCTAACACTTTCCAAATAGCTTCTAATATATCAATTAATGATGTGATATAATTTTAAAAAAAATTAATATTTATAATTTATATAATAAATAATGCCTCGTTTGGAAACAAGTTTTTTTTAGTAACTTTTTGACTTTTTGACTAAAATGTGATGTAAAAAAAAAAGTATGTTTGTGACGATTTTTTGACTTTTTATGAAAAGATGTGTAAAAGTAGAGAGAAAATGAAATTTTTGACTTTTTAGTATGAATTATTGACTTTTTAATTTTTTTAGTAATTTTTGGACTTTTTGACTAAATCGGTCGATTCCCAAATGAGCCTAAGGCCTCGTTTGGGAACATATTAATTTAGTAACTTTTTAACTATTTGGTTAAAATATGAGCTAAAAAAAAACTAGTATATTTGGGATGACTTTTTAATTTTTTATAAAAATATGTACAAAAAATACAATTTTTTTTTTTAATTTTTTAATATAAATTATTGACTTTTTAATTAATTTAATAACTTTTTAACTAAAATTAAAAGTTCTCAAACTAAGCCTAAGTTTAATGATAATACCATAACTAATATTGATAATTTAGATAGTCCACTATGTCCATAATTTTTTCCACAATCCACCCCGAATCGCTGGCACACATCCAAGAAATGAAATTTTTGACTTTTTAGTATGAGTTATTGACTTTTTAATTTTTTTAGTAATTTTTTAACTTTTTGACTAAATCGGTCGATTCCCAAATGAGCATAAGGCCTCGTTTGGGGACATGTTAATTTAGTAACTTTTTAACTATTTGGTTAAAATATAAGCTACAAAAAAACTAGTATATTTGGGATGACTTTTAATTTTTTACAAAAATATGTACAAAAAATACAATTTTTTTTTTAATTTTTTAATATAAATTATTAACTTTTTAACTAATTTAGGGTTGGTTTGGGATGTCCTAAAAAAGTGCACTTTTTGACTTATTGGTGGGTTTGGGTTGGGTTTGATGTGATGTGTTAGAGAGGTGATATGATTTAAATAAGATAATGTGACTTAAATAAGATAGTGACTTTTTGACTTTTTGACTTATTTAGTACATGCCAAACTAACCCTTAATAACTTTTTAACTTTTTAACTAAAATTAAAAATTCTCCAACGAAGCCTAAGTTTAATGATAATACCATAACTAATATTGATAATTTAGATAGTCCACTATGTCCATAATTTTTTCCACAATCCACCCCGAATCGCTGGCACACATCCAAGTATACGTACACATACATATGTATATACATATATGCACACACAATCACAGAGCTGAGCGGATTGATCCAAAACCAGTCTCGGAGAAGTAGAAGATTAATGGCTTACAAAGCTCTGGATTGTATCACCTCCTCAGACATCGAAGCTCTTGGACTACCCTCTGAAGTTGCAGAGCGATTTTACCAAAATCTCAGCGAAGTCATTCGCAATTACGGCTCTGCCACTTCGGAGACATGGCAACGCGTCTCCAAACACCTCCTCGACCCGGACCTTCCCTTCTCTCTTCATCAGATGATGTACTACGGCTGCTACAAAGACTTTGGACCCGACCCTCCGGCCTGGATACCTGACCCGTAAGCACCTCTTGCCTCTGTTTGGTTCTTGAGAAAACTCGAGAAAATAGAATTTGAAAATCATATTTTGTGCGTTTTTTGTTTTCGTGAATGAGATGAGAATGTCTAGTCAACTGAGCCTGGTAATTCGTGTTTGGGACTTGGCTGGATATATACATATATATATATATTGTTTTCTCAGGAAACAAACTGAGATTCTGTGATTTGTTAAGGGCATGCTCTATTGTTTTGAGTTTTCAATTCGTATTTTTCTTTGTTTTTAGTAAATTTGTTAGTATTTTGGTTTAATTTTTTTTAAAGATTAATTTAATATATTTTTTCTTTTTCAATAAATTCAAAAATATAAGAAAATGTACTATTTTTGGTATTTAGTAAATTTTTTAAAAGATTTTTTTTCACAAAGTTTGTATTTTTAAGTTTATTTTTAATCAAATTTGGTGAAGGTTTTGATTCATAGTTGAATTGGTGAAAATTTTGTCTCTCCCTTGATTTGATACAAATTTGATGAAACGGTTGGAGCAACTTTTAGCCATTTTTTCACCAAATTTGAATTTGATGAAAAAATTGATGAAGGATTGGATATGCTTTTACAGAAAGGAATAATGTAAATCCAATTAAGTGAAAATGTTGAATGTTTGAGCTGAAAATAATAGAACTTAGGCTGTGTTTGGATATTGGATTCGGGTATCGATTTGTAGAGCGAAGAGAAAAGAGTAGGGAATTAATCCTTACCCAAATCCAAGATCCGAACATAGGCTAAGGGAATAAATTGTAATTGTGAGGAGAAGTAATACATCATTTATAAATCCTGAGAACAAGGTATTGCATGTTTGTTTATGTCAGCTGACAATTGAATCACATTATAAGAAATCAACATTTATGTAGTTACAATTTATTGGTGGGTATGCAATCTGTAGAATTGTTCTAACATGGAAGAGTCACAGTCTGTTTGGGAAATTAGGAGAGAGAAGAAAAGAAAAGATTAGGTAGGACTTGGGAGAGGGGAAACAAAAATGAATAATGTAAATACAAGTATAAATTCGAAGAAGAAAATTTCATGCAATCTTTGATGGTCTTAGAATTGGCATTTTATTTATATTGTTATTTTTCAAAATTAATTGGTTCCTATGGGCTATGTGCTTTTTTATATGGCGGGAAAGAGCGGCCTCAACGAATGTTGGGCAACTATTAGAGAGGCGTGGGAAGAGGTTCTTGAAGATACAAGGATCCCATATCAAGCTTCTCTGAATTTCAGAATTTTTCAGTCTCAAACCCTGAGGTATTGTTATAGATCATTAAAGCTAGGGATTATTTATTAAGATTGAGTTTTATTCCCATATTCCTGTATGGACCACTGGTTATTAAATGTGTGTGTGTGGTTAGGTTTATTGGAAAACTGTATTGGATGAAATAAGTGTATCGTTTTCGGTGCCTCCCCAATGTATTTTACGTGAGAACCAATCGCACCCAGGAGGTCAATGGCTACCTGGTGCACATCTGAATCCGGCAAAGAATTGCTTGAGTCTGAATGGTAAGAAGACTTTGGATGATATAATGGTGATATGGCGTGATGAAGGAGATGATAAAATGCCTGTTAATAAGATGACTCTTAAGGAACTGCGCACAGAGGTTTGGTATGATTCTTTCCATGTTAGCCATAGTTGTAAAGTTTGATGTGTGTTAATTTGTCAAAATATCATATTCAATACCTGATTAAATGTAATCCACAGGACCTTAATTGCCATCCCCACCAATATTATGTATTTAACATTACGTTATTCGGTATTAGGATTTCATTGGGAAAAAATCCATATCGTACTCCATGGGATGCGCTAGGTTAATCTTAATCCATATCTTACTCCTACATGTTTGATGGTGTGTCCGTGAGAATTTAGAAAGAGAAAATAAAATAAAATTGGAACTTTGGTGTTGACAACCTGAAAGTAAGTAGCAACCTTGTCTAGATACATTGTACATTAGTATAGATCATTTGGCGGCTTCTTTGTCAACGGTTCTGTAGGCTACTTTCCAAAAGATAAAGCACATGATCATACATTAGTTAATAATGCTTCAAGTAGTAGTATATTGGGAAGTTTTGACTTCTAGGTAGTAGATTTGAGTGTGCCAGAAGAGTCAGAAGTGTAGACTGCGTTGTATAGTTAGTTTGTTTCTTTTGTCATGCTATGATTGCTGTGTTGTATGAAATGTGGTACTTACACATTAATGAGCCTTTTTGATTAATTGATGAGAAGCATTTAGTTTTCTTTTTTTATCATGCAAACATTGTTCAATTCTAAACATTTTGTAACATAAAATCATGTTGAACTTTATTTGTAGGTTAGTTGCACATGCACTTGAAACATTGGGATTGGACAAAGGATCTGCAATTGCGATAGATATGCCAATGGATGTGAATTCTGTGGTGATCTACCTGGCTATTGTTCTGGCAGGCTATGCAGTTGTATCCATTGCTGATAGCTTTGCTCCAACTGAAATTGCGACAAGGCTCAAAATATCAAAAGCAAAAGCAATATTTACCCAGGTTGATCGTCCCCTCGCACTTTCTTTGCCCCTAAGGACCATGCAAGATCAAATTTAAGAATTGCTACTGTTTATTTTATGAATATATATCTGTACTTTCCTATATAAGTGAGAAAAGCTATTCAAAAGTGTCCTGGAGTCTTATGGTTCTATTATCATACCAGTACAGTTTACTGGAATATTTTTTCATCATTATAAAGATTTAGCTAACTCAGTTTATTGTCACGACCTTGGTTGTTTCCAAGCTATCCGTGCGACACTTAGACAATCTCAAGCTTCATTTGATGCTAAGTCAGCCTAACTCACAAACTTAGAAGAGAGACAAGTGAGTTTGAGAGAATGCCTTTTGTATTCACTATGAGAAAGCTTTACACTCTTGGATGGTTTGGAGCAAATGAGCTCCTCCCCTATTAATAGGCACTCTTGGCCTTTCGTAGAACACTCTAGAAGCCACTAGGAAATACATGGAGAAGCTTCCCTTGGAAGCCTTTCTTACAACCTACAAGAATATTCTAGAATGCTTTAGAAATATCTATACAAGATATTTACAAGTCCAGTATGTACAAGTGTCTTGAATACTGAAGGATGTTCTACAATCTTCCATGTTCTCTCAAGTGTTGGAATGAGTTAGGAAGTTCTAGATCCTTCCATTAGCCTCCTTGCTCCCATGTAGGGGATTTTTGCCATAGGAGATTTAGCCGCTTGTGACATTATGCTGCGCTTGGTACTGTTAGTGCAAAACTCATAATCACAACTTGTGAATGAGTGTTCTATTAGGGATCAGAGCTATATCAGGTGACTAATGTGATGCTGATGTTTTCATGCTTAACTATGTCTGTATTCAAGCATTGGAGCTTTTCTCTCTGGTATTTGTGACTGCTTATACAGGTTTTCCAACTAAGCTAGTATTTGGATGCTCAGTCCTGCTACTTGACTATAACAAATATTAGTGTCCTCCTTCTCTGTAGTTTCTTTGAAATGGATCTTAAAATTATCTTAAATGATTGTTTTCATAAGTCATTTATAAAATTAGATTTGGAGTTATTGACCATCCCGTCCACTAGACATCAGTCAATTTCAAGGCTTTATATATTTCTCATTCTTTTTATGTGTGGATAAATAAATTTACATATTCTCTTTGGCTAATATTGTCAACATCAAACTTTTCTTTCTCAGGATTTTATTATCCGTGGTGACAAAAGATTACCCTTGTACAAGTATTGTTCTCAGTTCTCTTTAGATGAATAGCATGTTCATTCTGTTCTTTTTATTATGACTATTTCTCACATATAGGTTCGATTCTGCAGTAGAGTTATCGATGCCCAATCACCCATTGCAATTGTTATTCCCAGTAGAGGCTCCAGCTTTGGCATCAACTTGCGTGATGGTGACATTTCTTGGAATGAATTTTTGGCAAAAGTCGAACATTTCAGGCAAGAACTCTTTTATATATGTTTGATTTTTATTTACTAGTTGCTTATCTGCTTTATTCGCTTTTGGCATTTATTCAATGAAGGAAGTTCTATATAGCTTATTCTCTATCTATGACTTATATTTTCTTTTTCTTTTTCTTTTTCTTTTTTTTTTTTGAGGGAGAGGGAGAGGGAGAGGGAGTCAACGATTAACCAACAATTAACACTACCTATAACTTGAATTAAATCAATATTTTAATATATGAGGTCTGAATGGGATCCCTATGAAATTCTGATTGCTCCTTGCCTTATTTAAATGTTCTGCATCAGTCTTCCACACACTGGAAGAAGCTTGACCTCAAGTTTTGTAGTGCTAAAGTATGAGGGTTAGAAGTTTCGAACTTCGTACATACAAGAGTGGATTCTTGGAGTAGGTTACACAAGTTGTTTGCTGGAGTAATCTCTAACCACCCTCAAATGGCTGATGTAGGGTTTAAGTTGCTTATGGGACAGTGGTGTATTTCTTTCTTGATTATTAAAATAAATAAAATAAAGTTTTTTAAGCTTATTCAATTATTTATTTCTTTTTTCTAGAAGTGAATATACAATTCTGAGGAGTCCATTTTCCCATCATATCATTTATTATGTTTCGAAATATTTATGAAGCTGATGGTTGGAATAGCTTGCAAATGGAGGTCATCCTTGAGGCTTGAACTGGATAAAAGCATCAAAACTAATGATATCCTCAATTTTATCTTTAACTCCTTGGCTTCAGCATTGTGTTCATCTTGAGATACTCATGATGTAAATGATTATTTGTAAACATCCTTTCCAGTTTTATAACATTGGTTGTCATTAAAGCTCTAATGCTGGGTGCTGTGATTGTTCATTTTCATGCCAAAACTTGCAGAGAAGTTGAATTTGTTGCAGTAGAACAGCCTGTTGAAGCATTCACCAATATCCTTTTCTCTTCTGGAACTACTGGTAATTTAAAGATTAATCTTTTATCATCTTTTAAATTATTTGAATTGTACTTTCCACTGAATAATGTCTCCAAGATCCATATATACTTTGACTATACCAGTTTTTAAGTTGACCATCGAGCAACTCAATAAAACCTTTTAATCTTTCACAAATGAAAACTATAAAAGATTGAGTTGACCCAAGTACATATTGAAGCAGCCTATGAAGCACGGATACTTCAAATAGGGTGACATATGTGTATCATATCTGTATCTGATACCGATACTCCTTGGATACTCGCGAATACGTATTGAATACTTATTAAAAGTATGGGATACTTCTTAATTATTTTTTCATTAATTTTGGAGCATCAGATACTTAATTTTGAAGTATCGGATACTCCAAGTCATGTTTACTTGTTTTATGAAATTAGAATTGTAGCATTTCTTGCATAGTAATATAATATAATATAATTGCAAGGATAAATATAAGAATATTTTTCTAATACTTTGTTAAGTTCTTCGATAAGAAGAACATAGTGAGTTAAATAATAGAATTTGTCAAATTGATATATCCTAATTATTTCATGCATGTCCCCTATAACTACATAGAAAGTAAGAATTAGTAAGAGAATATAACAATGATAAAATTAAATATCAATAAATAGATAAGCAAGTAACCTTGAATACAATATTTTTCACTAGTGTAAAAGGAAAAAGTATAGGGACAAGTTGTGAATTGTTCTATTATTGTAATATAAACATATTAAACTTGATATTGAAATGAACTATTTGTAAGACCTATTAAAAATTTAAAAAGTAAACAAGCTACTAGTTTAAATTAATACATAATTTTTAAAGGTTAGTATTTTGCATTATAAAGTTACATTGTGGTTTCTCAACGTTCTTTAGCTTATGTGTAACTCACTATTAATAATTTTAAAAAATATATTTTTCACAAACGTATCCTAGCCGTATCGGTATCCTATTTTTTTAGGTTTTGTCGTATCGCTATATCCGTATCGTGTCGTATCGATATCTCGTATCCATATCTACGCTTCCTAGGAAGTGGCAGTAAGTTGAATGAGGTTAGAGTATCTGGATTCCATCTAACAAGCTTAATTGGATTTATCTATGGTGTAGGGGAACCAAAGGCAATTCCATGGACCCTTGCAACACCTTTCAAAGCTGCCGCAGATGGTTGGTGCCACTTGGATATCCGCAAAGGTGATATTGTTGCTTGGCCCACTAATCTTGGATGGATGATGGGTCCTTGGTTAGTTTATGCTTCACTGTTGAATGGGGCATCCATGGCTTTATATAATGGATCTCCCCTTGGTTCTGGCTTTGCCAAGTTTGTACAGGTAGAGACCTCTTCTCAATATTAATAGCCTACTATTATTTGGTTCCTTTTGGTTGTGCCTGTATCTTTTTGTACTGAACAGCTAACTGAGTGGTAATTAGGGGTGCAAATGGAAGGGTTAGGATGGGTTTAATATCAGAAGAACGTGATTTCCTTAACTTTGTGTCTAAGGATCCTACCTTGTTTTGGTGCTAAGACCTTCCTAAATTTTTTTGAAAACCTACCTTCCGAAGTGCAAATGACATGCAATGTTTTCCAGTCTGAAATCCTGTTAATATTATGGGCTTATTGCGGATAAAAACTTACTTTGGGATAAAATATCTTGTAAATAAAATAGGCGGGAAATTGAAAAGAATAGTTGGGACAAAGTACCCTACCATGAGAAAGAGGGAGTGAGAATATCTTCGGATAAATTACATGACTAATATGTTTTGTTTGGACTTTTGAGATTCCACTTTTATGTCTTATTCAATTGAATCATGCAACTTGTCTAGGATGCTAAAGTAACAATGCTTGGAGTGATCCCAAGCATTGTAAGGGCATGGAAAACTACAAATTGTACAGCTAGCTATGATTGGTCAGCCATCCGGTAAGTTCTGAATTTTACCCTTGAAAACTTGTGTCTGCATCATATTGCAGCCAAATTTATTTACATATATGAATAAGGGTTTGAGTAAGTGTGTGGGTGGGTTGAGTGGGGGTCTGTGTGCTTGTATATGTAAACTGAGGTTATTATTGCAAAAATTTGTGTGTCGACTATAAATATGTTATCTAAAAAAACTCTTATTCTTGATATTGAGAAAATAAATATTTTAGTGTATGTTTATTCTTTTGAATTTTTTAGTTGCTTTGGATCCACTGGCGAGGCATCTAATGTAGATGAATACCTATGGCTGATGGGGAGGGCTGGATACAAGCCTATCATTGAGTATTGTGGTGGCACAGAGATTGGTGGTGGATTTGTTACTGGGTCATTGTTGCAGCCTCAGTCTTTGGCTGCTTTTAGCACACCAGCTATGGGCTGCAGTCTGTTTATCATTGGCAGCGATGGAATTATTAATGTAAGCACCATTCAACCTTACATCTGGAAGGAATGAAAAGTGTTTGTAGCACGAATTTGCGGCTTGCTATACATTTTTTAATGCCTGCACTGGAACTTACACGTTTTGGAGAAACCCCATTTTTTAATCCCTCTTATTCTTTTCAAATTATCTCATTTCTGTTCTATATTTGTACAGTAGCCTATTGAAAGACATGACACATTCCTACTAATGATGCAGAACAATACAAGACATCATGCATGACTTTTTTTTATAAAGGGTACCTTGTTATGGATTTTTTTTTTTTTTTTCATTTTTCTTTTGGGTTCTTTATTGTGAATGTAATTACTGACCAAGGACATGTAAGTTTAAATTTATAACATACACATCTAAACATTCGTTGCCACATATTGAAGGTTTTTGTTCAGTCTCTTCGTCATGTGTAATATTTTCTTCTTATTGCTTCTGTCTATTATGGAACTTCGTGTAAAGTTTCTAATCCATTCCCAACTATCTTTGTTTCGCTCAGTATTTGTGCAACTGACAGTTCTGTAGTGTAGTATTTTAGACTCTCATTCAATTATGCCAATTATTTTTTTGACAATTGAATACAACTAACTGTAATCTATCTAGCATTTAAGAAATTTTTACCCTAGTCATTCAGACTAGTATCTCATCCCATCTACTATAGCCACCAATTGTTCCAGGGATTGGTGAATTGGCTCTTGGCCCCTTAATGTTTGGAGCTTCAAATACACTGCTGAATGCTGATCACTATAATGTCTACTTCAAAGGAATGCCTGTTTGGAATGGAAAGGTAAGCTAGGCATCCTCCTTGTTTTTGGACGATTATGGAGATTTAACTCACTTGAACTTATGTTTGGTGACTCTCCTTGTTCAGATTCTAAGAAGGCACGGGGATGTGTTCGACCTTACTTCTAGAGGATACTATCATGCGCATGGTCGGGCGGATGATACAATGAATCTTGGGGGCATCAAGGTTTGAATTAGTCTTACAATCTGACCTATTAAAATATGCTAGTGTTGAGTAAAAAATCATAGGCACTTAGGAGCCTGAGAAATAAAAATACAAGTGCATATGTTCTGACAAATTATGTGTTTAAAGAATCAAAGGTGTTTCTTAAGTACTAGAGGTGGAATGTCGGTTGTACTGGTACTGCAGGACCCACTATGAGTCGATCCATCAACATCCAATGGCTTTGGATCTTGAGTTTGAAAAAATAAAATAAAAATCTTCAAGCACTCTTATAAAATGCTCGTCATTTTCAATAATGCAGTTGTAACACTTTGGTTGTCCTTACAAAGTATCTTCAAATCGAACTGTTATGTTTGCATGTATCATTCACAAGGAATGTGGTGCTAATGGAGGCCTGACCACCTTTATATTCAAATTTAGAATTGCTCGAGAAAGTATGCAACATGGAAAATGTACTCTTGATCCTCACATTATAGGATGGAATATTATTTGTTGACTGATATATATTGACACCCTCAAGGCTTCGGTGATACTGGCCCTATTAATTAGAGCTTTTGAGTATGAAAATTTTGAGGATTACTTTCACACCCATTTTAAATGTAGATTGATCTAACCATTTCTTTGGGTTTGGGCAGGTAAGTTCAGTTGAGATTGAACGCATCTGTAATGCTGTTGATAACAACATCCTTGAGGCAGCAGCGGTTGGGGTGCCTCCTCAAGGAGGTGGTCCTGAGAGGTTAGTCATAGCCGTTGTTTTCAAGGATTCAAGTGAATCGGCCACAGACTTGAACAAGTTGAGGACGGCTTTCAATTCTGCACTGCAGAATAAACTAAATCCTTTCTTCAAGGTATAATCAAACTACTCAGCGATCAAATGCCTTGTTGAAAAGTTTTGCTCTTAGTTTCTTTGTTTTTTGGTTACATGAACATCATATAACATTTTCACCAAAGGGAAGGGGTGATGGGGAGTGGAACCCCATGGTGAGACTTGAAGTCCGGACCTCAGTCTGGGTAAGGGGGCACCTTATAGTAACAGTTTACCCCGTAGGCCTCAATCCTGATTATTTTGAAATTGTCATGTCCCGTGTCCATATCGGTGCTTTCTAGTGCATATAGGTTGGAATGCAATATTTTGAAATTCGGACTGTTGAATGAAGTGTAAAAGGTCTGGGTAAGGGTTAGTGGTTTAACCGATGGGTCAACCGGAATCAAATTATAATTGCATAATAAATATATTAATAATTATGTATAAATAAAATTAGCTATTAATATTACAAAAATATATACTTATATTATCAATTTATTTTTAATTCAAGATTTAAATTTTTATGGGTTGTTTCTTGGTAGAAAGTCAGTGTACATAAAAAGAATGATATATAATATACATCTTGTAGCTCAGTGGCACAGGGCGTGCCTATCCTGCTTGAATCCAAAGTTTGAAGTGATGCCTGCGAAATCACGCATTGCATTAAACCGGACAATTCACCATAACCACCACCGGTTCTCATGGTTTATTTGGATCAAAACTTGGACCTGTCAATAGCTCAACTGGTTGAACCATCTGGCTTGACCCTGTTTTATAAACATTGTTAGAATGTACAATTTTGCTTATTAATGCTTAATATTGCAGGTTTCTCATATTGTGCCAATAACGTCTCTTCCGAGGACAGCAACAAATAAGGTTATGAGAAGGGTTTTGAGGCAACAGTTTGCTCAAATTGACCAAAATTCTAAAATTTGATGTTTCTAATTCCTATTGAGAGCACTTTGCTAAAGTGCCAGTTCCATGAGTTTTTGTTTTGTTTTTTTTTCTTCATATAAATGTGTTATTGTTCTTATTTCCCAACCTGGTCTGAATGATTAATAATTCGTGTGTTGTATAAAAATGTAACATATTTTGATCATTGTGCAAAAACAGAAAATTATGGATTAGCATTCACTTCAAATAAATCTGTGGATTATATCTGGTTAAGTTGGGAATATGTTTTAAAGTTGTTAATTTATAAAAAAAAAGTTTTATTTTGATAAGATATATTTGTTTTTAACTCCTATAATACACGAACCCTAATAAAATTGGAACACTAATGCTGTGTTTGGTTGGAGAATTTGGGGAAGGATTTTGAAAGGGAAAGGGAAAAATTGTGTGAAACTATGTGAAATGTAGATATATTTTTTTCACATTTCATTTACCTTTTTCATTTTTCTTTCCAAATCCCTCAACCAAACACAGCATAGGGGGGTGTTTGACGTTTGGTTCAAAAAATATAAGTTGGATTAATAGTCTAATCGGATTATCAATTCTTTATTTGTGGGATTATTGTGGACTCTTTTGGGAGCACACTAAAAAAATCAGCTTTTTGACTTTTCAGTTTTTTTAGCAAAAAAAGTCAGATTTTTTAGATTTTTTACCCAAAACAACTCAACGTTTTGCCAAAAAAGCCAATAAAAAAGCTAAAAAGTCAGCTTTTTATCAACTTCTCAAAACACGACTGTGTCCATGGAGGGTGTGGGATAAAAAAATGTGGGATAACTCCTCCTCCGGATTGAAAGGTTAAAATGACATTTTTGGTCCTTTTTTTTTTCCTTAATTTTTTATTTATATTATTTTTAATTATACTTGGTAAAGCAAAATAAAATTTAAAAATCTCAACTATAAATTAAATTAAATTAACATTCCAATGAATTATTTCCCCCTTTAAAAATTCAATTTATTCAATTATTTAATTAAAAATAAAATTAAAAGTTCAATTTATTGAAAAGTTCAAATTAAAAAATCTCAATTAAAAATTAAAATAAATTTATATAATTTTTATAAATGTTCTATTTATTTAATTTTTTAAAAGTTTTGTCAAAAAAATAAAATAAAATAGGATACACATCAGATTCAATAGAATAGTCGAACCTAAACATGTAATTTCATGACTAAACAAATATAGGATTCAATAGAATAGTTCAATCCAGACATTTAATTACCTGACTAAATAAATATAGAATACAAATCCAGTCTAATTAAATAGTTCGGGCACAATATATTCTGATAGTCTGGTAAATTACAATCTCTTTTATCCAGTCCATCCAAAGAAACGCACTCTAAAATAAAAATAACATGTATATAATGCTAGTAGACATTAACATGTATATAGTAGACATTAAAAAAAAAAATCCTGAAAAGTATATAGAATTTGAAATATTTGATGTATTAAACTTTGGGTGTAATTTACACCACACTGGGGTCACGTTTCTTTGCTAAAGCTGGGATACGAAGTGCAGAGAACATGAAAGTCTTATTAGACTTTTTTTTCTATCCGATTTTTGATTGTGTGATAAGAAGGAAATGACTGGAGTTAGGTAACATGTGGATTTCACAACTGTTTTATTTTATATTTTAGATTTTGAATAATTTTAATACTATTAAATGAAAAAAATGAGTAATAAATGATATACAGGTATCATGTTGGTGGGATTAAATCTGTCCATAATAGTAAAATATAATTAGCATATTACTAGTGTTATACATTGGATAAAACAATATATTATTTAATAAAAATATGGTAATTATATTTAATTTTTTTATATTTTGTAAAATAAAAATTAAATGAAAGTTAGTCAATCGGGATTTTCTTAAGTATTTAAAATTAAAAAAATCAAATAAATTAGTATGAAATATTGATCATAAGATTTTCTTACTAAAAATCTCATTTTGTTAATATAAATGGGAGTATAAGATTTACTTTATGTAAGTGAAACAATTCACTTTTTCCTTCTTTTCTCGATGTGGAATTATAAAATAAAAGTTAAATGAAAACTAACCAATTGTGATTTTCTTAATTGTTTAAAAGTTAACAATTATTTGGGCGTAAAATTTATTTCGAATCAAACAATCTTAGCAATTAAATCTTTACTTAGGTCAATCTTTAATTTATTTCGAATCTAACAAATTTAACCAATATATTTTGATAAAATCGCTAAAATTGCCGTTAAATCAGTGAATCAATCAAACCGAAAACGGTTCACCATATCGGTTAGCTCAAAGGACTAACCAACTTATACAAAAATTAATTAATTAAAAATTTTAAATTTTATTTTAATTTTAAAATTTAAACTGTCTTGAACTGAAACATACACAACACTATAATATTAAATGAGAGTATAAGGTTTATATAGTGAAACAACTTTTTTTTTTTTCCTCATTTTCTGATGTGTGATTGTAAAATAAAAGTTAAGAGTTGTTTAAACGAAAGTTTATTTCTAATCAAGCAATCTCATTCGTTCAATTTTTAATAAGATCAATCTTAGTTTATTTCAAATCAAATAAATCTACGCAATATAGTTTGATAAAACAGCTAAAACTATAGTTAAACCAGTGAATCAATCAAACTGAAAACGATTCAGCCTAATCGGCTAAGTCAAAAGACCAACCAATTTACAACAAAATTAATTAATTAATTATAACTTTTAAATTTTATTTTAAAATTTAAACCATCTTGAACTGAAATATGCACAATACTATAATATTAAATGAGGGTATAAGATTCACTTTATATAAGTGAAACAACTTTTTTTTTTCTTTTCTCGATGTGAGATTGTAATTATTTTTAAGTTAAATATTATGAGAGTTTCAAAATTTCATACAAAATTACTATTGACATAGATAGGCCCATAAAGGACATGGCCCACCACTTAAAGCCCAATCCATGATTCAAATACTAAAACCCAACATTCTTGGAACCCTACGTTACACCAAAAACCAATGACATCTAAACACTTGTCAAGAGAAGAACTAACCACATCAGCAGACAAAGATCCTGCAGAGTTATTACACCACACATCAGCCATTAATGAAGTTCCCTGCAGCATTTATTAAGATAACCCATTCACGTCGAAACAGAACAGCCTCACCATGAACAAGGCAAGCTAGAACATAGGCTTTCGGCCAATATGACAGGTCGAAGTGGACAAAGAAATGATGAACAAAGAATATAAGCAGGTTTCTAAGACAAAAAAAAGGTTAAGTTCTCCATCACCATCATATCTTTACATTCCATCACTTTTTCTTCTCTAACTTGCTCGTCGGAGGGTTCACTGGGGGACTCCCGTTCCCCGTTGAACTCTCGTGTAGGTTTCTCCGTGAGCCCAACAATCGGACAATGGTTTGGGAGGCGTGGATCAACCTGACCCGTTCCATCAGAAAAAAGCAGTATCATCAATTGGCGCCGTCTGTGGGAACCTTTTACTCCGTGTGGCAATCGTGCTCATTGTTGCCGGAGACCTACTCCCGATAATTCCTCATTGCCACCCACCAGGGTGAATGGTCATAACAAGATCCATGGCTTTTCAATACAACGTGGTCGACCCCCAAGCCGACCCTCCTAACCCAAACAACTCGCTGCAGTATTTCACAGAACTTACCAACAGCATCAACCGCCTAGTCGAACAAAACCAAGCCTTGATCAACGCTTTGCTTCAATGAGACTTCCCTGTGCCTCCTCCACCACCACAAGATATCCCACCTAACCGAGAACGAACTCCGAGCCATCCCTTCCAATAAGCCCACCCCACCAACTTGGAGGGTTTGCGACCCCTACCCCAAGATATGAATCCACTACCTCGGGGTCTACATCCGCCGGTTCAAGCACCTGCTCTTGAGGAAGAGGCCAGCAGTGTTCAACCTCCACTGCATTTTAGGGGTGACAACGTCCCCATCTGGGATACGGAGCTCCGAGCCATGAAACTCTAGCTTCAAGGAGGTATGCAGAACATACAGAATAAACCCTCTACAACAGCCAACTCACCTTTCATCGCCTCCATTAGAGGCAAACCCCTAGCTCCAAAGTTCAAAATGCCCTTGATCGACTCTTTCGACGGTACAATGGACCCGGTCAACCACTTGGAAACTTACAGGACCTTAATGATCCTCCATGATTTTCCTGATGAGATCATGTGTCGGGCTTTCCTCGTAACGCTCAAAGGGTCGGCTCGACTCTGGTTCAGTCAGCTGCTGATGGACTCTGTCTCTAATTTTCAACACCTAAGTGATTCCTTTCTTAGCCATTTCATTGGTGCCCAGCGCTAGCGACGCCCGGCCACTCAGCTCCTCAACATCCGTCAGACGGAGGGGGAATCGCTACGCAGTTTTGTCACCCGTTTCAACATTGAAGCCTTACAGGTGGAAAAAAACAACGACAAGGTCATTCTCACGGCTTTCATAGCTGGTCTACGATCATCCGACTTCCTTTTCTCCCTCTCTAAAAACCCTCCAACCTCCATGACAACCCTCCTCTCCAAAGCCAAAAAATATATGAATGCCGAAGATTCTCTAGCCGCCCGACAAGATTCCACAACCAAAAACCCAACCCTCAGAGAGAAGAGAAAGGAATCTAAAACCAGAACCACCCAATACATGCAGCAAACACCTCAGTACACCGATCGACCTGCTCGAGCTGACCGGTCGGCACCTACCGGACCGCCCGGCCGGTTCAAATGGTACACTCCTCTCAATTCCCCCATGGAACAAGTCTTGAACCAGATCCAACGAGATTATCCCCTGAAATGGCCACAACCATCGCGGTCTCCCTCCAATTAGCGAGACCAGTCCAAGTACTGCCGTTTCCATCAGGACCACGACCATATTACCGAGGAGTGTGTTAACCTTAAAGACCAGGTCAAGAGCTTGATACGCTATGGACGTCTCAGTCGGTTCATGGCAGGCAGCCCCCAGCAACAGCCAAGGACTGAACCTACCAAAGGCAACCACCGACACACCCCTCCCCGACAACCTGCACAACCTAACCAAAGCAATGATCGACTCCCACAACAATCCCGAGCACAAGGCAACCCTGCCCCCCCGGTTGGAGAGATCAGAGTCATTGCCGGCGGGCTTGCATGCGGGGAACCATCCCGTTCGGCCCAACGAACAGAACTCAGAAAAATCAGGCAGGGCTCCAATAAAGAAGTCGCAACATTGGACCACCC